TTCGAGATCAGAGCCAAGGAAGTAGTCATAGAAAACACCGTGTGTACACCCCAAATTGTCTCCCCAGGCAGGAGTGCCACCCTTGGCAGGGACGTGCAGGCCGTCTCTACGGGCTCTTAGCCCTCCTCCAGGGGCTGGAGAAACGTCCTGTTTCTAGACTACTTGGAAAACAATGTGAAAGGACTCATTTCATAATGATCTTGCAGTAAATGAACCTTGAGGGAGAAGCCTTCTGTTTTTGAAAGACTTGTTGAGTCTCCCAACTTGTATCTTTCGTTCCCTTCAGTCCTGATCCCCCCTAGTTGGAGGGCTTCTCAGACTCCCAGCATCCTTCAGGTCTGGGTGACAGTTGACTTCTTCTATAAGCCAACTTTCCTAAAAGAGCCCATCCACGTGGTTTTCTTTTTCTCTGAATTCCTACAGAAGTATGTCCTCCCTGTTCAGGCCGTTGTGTGTGGAGCAGGCCACGTTGGATTCTAACAGAAACTGCAGACTTTCTCCCCAGAAAGATGAGCATCTACGTACAATAATAGGATATCCTGTGTGTACTTTCCACAGACCACGGATGCTCAAAGTCCCCAAACAGGGACCTCCTAGGGGTCTGGAGCCCCGGGTCTCCTCCTGTGAGGAAAAGAACCTAGACCTTGGGTTTCCAGACTCTCAAGGTCAAATGTGACTCTCCCTTTCATTCTCTTGTCATCTTCAGAAATATGCTTAACCATCTGAACCTCTTTGTCTTCCAATAAACTCGGAGATACGTACAGCTACCTGACGGGTAGTATTTGCCCTACCTTCATGAGTACGTGTCCAATTGGTAAACCCTTTCCTGCGTCGTCATCTGGTAGCCAAGACCTTGGACCCGCCCTTGCTGTGCCCCAACCAGACCCCCCTCACAGAAATGAATTCAGATGTCACAACACTCAACGTGCTGCACAGTAACTACATCACGTCCCAGGAGGCGTCGCTTTTCAGTGACCTCTAGGGAGGCTAAGGGAGGCGTGTGTGTGTGTGTGTGTGTGTGTGTGTGTGTGTGTGTGTGTAGGATTTAAAGTAAACCTAAACTTTACAATATCTACAGAAACCCTAGTTTTAAGTAATAAGCATGTTTACACATTATTGTTTGACCTCCTCTGTGTGATGCTACTCTCTTACCCGGAGATTTCTTTTTATCAACTATCTCATAGCCATGATCACTTTTTCCTTTAATTGTAAAAAGCTGTATATGCCGGGCCAGCACAGCCAAGGGTTCGGTGAGCCTGAGTGGGGGCAGCGAAGGATTAAAGAAAAGACAGACAAAGAGAATAAGCTGGGTCTAGGTGGATCTCCTGTGCCTGGCTGAGGCCACAGAGACCCAGAAGGCAAATTGAGGCTTTATTTTATAGCCAGAGGTAAACAAGGTAGTGGTCACCATAGTTACAATGTTCTTGTGAGTTTCACTTGTTTTGGCAGCACTTGCTGCACCTCCCACAGCCCATTAGCTACCTAGGAAGGATCTAGGGAGCGTCATAAGGTCAAGCTTAATTATGCTAAGAGGGCTGTACCCTCTAAGCTGGGACTTGTTTGTGGCTTTGCCACCAGGTCAGTCCAAGGCTTAATCCTATAGTTGCTCCCTACAGCTGTACTTTCCATTTGTTTTACTTTTGGAAAACCACATCTTGAAAGAGACCCATTTTTCTCCTTTGCTTTGATTCTCAGAAGCTCAGGCCCGAATTGATAAGCCATCTCCAGCAAATGTGAAGGTCTTATGGCCTAGAAGTCATGCTCCTCGCCTCTCTACCTTTATCTTCCTAGTCTACTCTTATTTTTCTCTTTCCTCCACTTCCATTATGTAAGTATTTGTATTCTCTAATGGTATGTACCATCTCTTAAATTCTTTTACTGAACAAAATAAAATATTAAAAAATGATCTTCATGTGAATTAGCTGAGCTATCTCACTAGGAACGTGGTGCACAGCAATGTGTTGTGCCTGCACCGAGGAGCTGTTAGAAAAGAGTAGACAGCCTCTGGCATAAGGATGAGTCTGGGGCTTAGTGCAAGTCCCATGGGTAAGGGACCTTTCCATGTGGAGCCCTGGGTCCAATTCCAAACAACCATTGTCTCTACTCAGGGACCATCTGTGTGATGTTAACTCGCTTTGCACTCCTTCAACCAGAAAATGCTTGCATGGATTCTTGTAGACCTTGGAGGAAGCAGGATGCATCAAATCTTTTGCCATTGCCTGGCAGGTATGGCTCAGTGGTTGAGTGTCAATCTATGAACCAGGAGGTCACGGTTCAATTCCCGGTCAGGGCACATGCTCGGGTTGTGGGCTCAGCCCCCAGTGGGGGGTGTGCAGGGTGCAGCCGATGAATGTTTCTCTCTCATCATTGATGTTTCTATCTCTGTCTCCCTCTCCCTTCCTCTCTGAGATCAATAAAAATATATTTTAAAAAAAACTTTTGCCATGAAGGAGTTGAAATGATTTTGTACTTATTCAAGGAGCTTGTGTTGAAATGAATGTCATCTAGGTTCCATACATCTGGACCGGAGCCCTAATACTACGCAACATCCCACAGTCATTGGTGTCAGACATCCAGAATAGTGAGAGTTCCTTAACTGGCCTTGCTTGATGTAAGCTACATGTTCCAAAATATCGGACCATATCAGGCAACCAGCTCAGATAACCTCTGAACAGATAGAAGTCCACAGCCAGCTCGTATCTGGGTGTATTTCCACATCTGTTCCTTTCAGTCTGTTCCCAATTTTAAAGGCTTGAGATAGTTCCCACCTAGGTCCTCTGACAGTAAAATCATGCACAGGACAGAATTCTAGGAGAAAGCTAAATCCACTCAGGTCCCTTGTGACACATTAATAGCACAAAACGAGGGAAATTAAGAATATTTAACTTCCATTACGGCATTTCACCTGAAAGGCGGGCTGCTACGATGCAGCAGGATCATCTTCCTATAAGAAAAGCTTGGATTAGAACTGGTCATTAAGTTGGAAACAGATTCTTTCCTACAGACCCAGAGGGTTTGTGAAAGTTGCCCAGTGGCAGGGATGAATTATATCAGTTCCGAATTTTAATTTGCTAGAACCTACCCCATACAAGGTTTTGCTCAAAAGTATCTTAAAAGGAGGTGTGCATAAAAACAAGGGAGGAAAAGAAAGACAGAAAGAATAGGGACGATTCTTTTGGAAGGAAGAAGCATAGCATTTGCCTCGTGTGTGTGTGTGTGTGTGTGTGTGTGTGTGTGTGTGTTCATGCTCAAAACGTTTATATACTTTAAGGTGGGAGAGTTCTAAGAATTATCCAGTCCAGCTGTCTGCCCAACATATAGCTCATTTCTACAATATTTTGAAGGGTTGATATAGCATATTTCTATTTAAATATCACCAGTGATGAGAAGCTCAGTATTTCTCAAGGCAAATAATTCAATATTCAGACAACCATAATGGTTAGAAATTTTTTCATGATCTTGAATGAAGATCTCCCTCATCATTCCCCCTTCCCTAGCGCCACCTACAACCTGTCTAATGTATCTTTCTTAGAAGAATCCTCAATAATTATTTGAAGGCTGTTGTGATCATGAGGATGAGGGTGGGGCTGATCATCATCATGTAACAGTACATAACATGTCCTGAGCAGTCCCCATAAGGGCTATGCTAAGCACTTTCAGTTTTATCTCGTTGATCCTCACGAGCTGATGAAATACGTACATTTAACAATTGATTTTCCAGAGGAGAAAACGGAGGCTTGGAGAGTGAAGTAGCTTGCCCTGGAAAACAGCCGGCGGGAGGACAGCTAGGATTGGAAGCAGGCCTCCCCAAATGGGCTCTTTGCTAGCTTCGTCAGTGACTGACGCCACGGGTGGTGGCTGCCAGTGTTTGTATTCTCCGGGGAAGATTGCGGAGTCTAGATGCTACCACCTGCTGCGCCCACTGCACGGCTTGCTTTCTCATTTCATGCACAGAGGCGTCCTTTTAGTGTGTTCTCACCACATCTCTCTTACAGTGGCATTTAAAGGAATTCCTGTATCGGCATAAATACCGTAATACCGTCGGAAGCCACACGCCTGGAAAATTGCAGCCCTGTAGTTAGTTCTCTTCTAGAGCCCAGTGGTTTTTCAGGTTGATCTCTCCCCAGCTGAGGCGTCTGAGGCACGAGCCAGGGAAATGCCTGGCAAGGCGCGCAGCACCCACATCGGATGGCGCCCCCCTCACCAAGTGCTGAGTGAATGGGGGGGGGGGGGGCGGGCAGGGCAGGATAGTTACTGTCTAGAGCAGTAGAGGTTTTGCTGTTGACGTAAATAATAACTACATCTGGCCTTTTCTTTTCTTTTTTTAGGGTGACATTGCAGCTGTGTAACAAGTTTGTATTTCTCTGTAGGTCTGATTCATTTTTGCCAATGCTGTAGGCTGCAATGTCACTGAGAATAAGTTTGGATATTATACTTTCTCATTTTTACATTTCATGAAGAATCCAATCTCATTACCACTGACATGTCAAATTTTGAGAGGCTCTGACTTGCCTGGGACTTGTATCTGTGGGAAACGTGGCCTCCGGTAGAGGCTAAAAGGGGTCGCAGGGGTTGTACATCTGCATTTTCTGAACTCTTCCTCGGGCACTTTAAGAAACTTACCTTTCTGGACAGACATTTTAATAACACCCTCTCTTGCGCTTATCCATTGACATGGTATGTTCCCGCATCAATGGAACAGAAACAAAGCAAAAATGAAATATTAACTGTGAGGGATCAGGGAATTAGTGAGAGGGGAGGGGAAATACTTTGTAGACTATACCTAAACTCTGCTGCCTATAACTAAAATACCTGACTCTTTTCATGGAAATAGTGGTTAAGATATTACCCATCTCCCAGTATGAAGATACTTTTTATAGGGTGTTAAGACATAGTTATGGGGCCCAGGGGTATTTATGCAAGTTGTCAAATATGGTCAGTGCTTTCAAAGTTTATTTTTATACTCCTAATGACATTTGGTTTTGTGTTGCTTTTCCTAGGTTTGCTGGCATGGGAAATCTGCTCAAAGTCCTTACCAGGGAAATTGAAAACTATCCACATTTTTTCCTGGATTTTGAAAGTAAGTTTTAAAAACTTAAAGATTATGACAAATACTTCTCATTTTATAGCTTGCTGATAGGGAAGCTTATAACAAAAAATGTCTCCTTTTCCTGTTTTAAAAAACAACAAATGGAACATCTTTTAAAAATATGTACAGTTTTCTTTTATTTTAGAAGTGATCAGCTTTTGTAAGCTTAGCATAAATCATCATCATGCATTTTTCCTAATAATTTTCATGAATTTCTATCACATTTTAAATAAAAATAGTGTTTCCACCGATTAATGTAAAGCATTAATGTAAAGCATTGGTGGTGAAAGGAAAAAAGTGATCAATACCAGGAATGAGGCTTACAGGTGATTTATTTTTAGTCATCTCTACCACTATTTCAGGATTTTGAGACACATGACTTTTATCTGAAAGGTTATGTTTCTTTTATCAAAAACTTTAAATATTTTTCTAAGATAAAATGGCTTATGAATCATGACTAAATAAACGCAGAGATTCTTTCTTATCTTGTTTATTTTCTTGATTGAAAATATTTACAAATGAGTGACACATTCATGTTTAATTGACTAAGCTCATGTTTCCACCTTTCCTCCTGTGTTCCCCCTTCTTTTTGAATTAAAATTCTGCAATAGTGGGCACATTCACTTTTAAATGTCATTTTTTTGCCAGTATTCATTATCTACTAGGTATTACAGACTTTAAACTTTAATTTTTCAAGTATTTTATCTATATTAAAAATAAGAAGAAACTTCCTTACATGGGGAGTAAACTTCCTAACAGACATTTTTGAGGTAAATGCTAGAAGACCCTTTCAAGGTACAGTACACCAAAAGGTGGAAGCTCTCTAGGAATATCTTTTCAGAATCTCTTCTGGGTCTAAAATAAATACTTAAAAATTAGGAAAATTGATCCCAAAGCTCATGTGTTCTGAAAAAAAAAAATTTAGATTATATTCAGTGAAAGACATCTCACCTCTAATTTAACTCCTTTTACTGCTGCTGTTGTTCCTGTTTGGTTGGTTTTGGCTAGGTTTGGCTGTGTTTGGTTGGGTTTGACTGTGTTTGGCTGTGTTTGGTTGGGTTTGGCTGTGTTTGGCTGGATTTGGTTTGGTTTGGCTGGTTTGGGCTGTGTATGGTTGGGTTTGGCTGTGTTTGGCTAGATTTGGTTGGGTTTGGCTGGTTTGGGCTGTGTATGGTTGAGTTTGGCTGTGTTTGGCTAGATTTGGTTTGGTTTGGTTGGGTTTTGGCTGTGTTTGTCTGGGTTTAGTAAGGTGTGCATCTCCAGAGAAAATAGCTGATATCAGTGGGGAAAAACTAGAGAGCAGATAAGATCTGAGCAGAAGGGAACTTAAGGTAAGTTTATGCCTAAAGGGGGGGACATGATTAGTTAGAAGATCCAGGAAAGAGGCCACATTGAAGAGGAAGAAAGATGTCATACTGCACTGATATTCTTGATGGCAGACTCTGGGTCCCACTCAGTTCTGTGACCCAGAACTTAGCTCATGTTGAGCATGGAGCATTGATCACCGAGTGAGACTTAGTGACAAATGCTGGCCATGGGAAGGAATGGGACAGAACAGGCTAGATCCAGGAGGGCACAGATGTTCAAGAAGAAGGGAGTGTAAATGGATTCAAATGCTACAATGTGGTCATGAAGGATAGGCTTGAAAAGGGGATGATGAGTGAGGTCATGAGCTGCCCCCCTCCTGGTAGTCACTGGGAGAACAGATTTAAGATTTATTGCTTTGTGTATAGAGGCTGGGTTGCAAAGAGTTAAGTAGTAACCAGCGGAGGGAGGAAGGAAGGCTGAACAGCATGTAGCAACAGCTTAAATGAATTTGGCACCTCAGCTTTGCGTGTTGAATATTCTTTTTGAAGTCAGTGATGGAATATAATTGAACCGGGTCAAATAGATATAATTAAGCTGGGTCAAAATATAACACAAAATTAGACACATCTGTCCTTAGGTTGCCAGTTGTGTAGACCTGACTCAAATTCTTGTTTGACCTTTGTAGTGAGTTCTACTCTTTATGCTCACATTTCTGCACAACCACTTAATATCTCTTTCATTGTAGCTTTTTTTTCATCCCACTACTTTTTTTTCTTTTTCTCTCTCTACTTCCTTGTCATGTCTACATTTCCTCTTTGAAGGCTGGGAGACAGAATGGGAATAAAATGCAACCTAATCTTTCATGAGTAATGTTTTTTTTTGGGGGGGTGGGGTGGGGGACAGTGTATAGAAAGATGTGTGCCTGAAGGTCTACTGATAACTTTAATCAAATTCACCCATTATGGCACCCAAAGTGGGCAGTGGGTATTAACCTTCCTGTGAAATAGTTCCAGTGATTGCCAGACTGAAATGACCCTTGGAAACATCTAGCAAACCTTATTTTTCTATAGTTGTCTGTTCCTCACCCCAAAATTCTGATTCAATGGTCTAGTCCTAAGACTCTACTTTTGCCTACATTCCCCAGGTGTGTTTGAAGGTCAGCCAGTTTGGGAACCACATTTAACTAATGGACCCAAGTGAGGCACTAGCCCAGCCTAGTGTGTGGGACCAGAGAGCTAACAAAGTAACCTCTTGAGTTCCCAGATCCAGAGCTGCAGTCTACAGAATTGATCGCAGAGGGCCCCTCGTAGCTTCCATCTCCCTATTTTCCCTTGCCCAGCAGGAGTTAGAGCTGGCTGCAAGTCAGAGCTATAACTCGAGAGTGATGCTCTTCCTCAGTCCTTTACACAGTGTCCGTCTACCTTGAAGTGGAAGTTCTCCAAGACAGGTAGAAGTTCAAGTAGATTAGAATCTACATTGTTATCACAGGTATCAGTAGTTCATCCCCCTTATTTAAACCTGCTATGAACATTCTTGTAGAATCTTGGTGGGCATTATTTCTTTTGGAGAAATACCTAGTAGGGGGTTGCTGGTCAGTTATGTGCAACTTTGCAAGAAACTGTCAAATAGTTTTCCAAAAGTGATGTACTATGTTCCATTCCTACTAACAAGATAGGGAGCTTAGGTGTTCTAAATCTTTCACATTTAGTATTGTCAATCTTCACCTTTTTAGTTATTCTAGTGGTTATGGGATGGTATCTCATTGTGGTTTTAATTTGCATTTACATGGTCACTGATAATGCTGAACACTTTTTCATGTGCTTATTGATTATTTGATTATCGTTTTTAGGAATGTTGTCTTTTACCCATTTTTAATTGGATTATTTTTCCTTATACTACTAAGATTGTTCTAGCTCAGATAGATTGCTTTAAATCCCTTATCAGAAATTAGTTAACTGTACTTGTCCAAATCAATTTTAGAATTAGCTTCAATTTCTAAAAAAAAAAAATCTTGCTCGGATATTGATTATAATTATATTCAATCTATAGCTTGGTTTGCTGAAAATTGGTATCTAAACAATATTGATTCTTCCTATTTATGAATATGGCATAGCTTTCCATTTATTTAGATATTCTTATAAGTTCATTTATAGTTTTTGGGATCTTGTATACCTTTTGTTGACTATACCCTGGAGCAGTTTCTATTTTGACCATAACAGCTTTTTTGTTTTGTGTTTGCGTGGTATGTGTGTCCCCATCCTATCTATGCATTAATCTATTTACTGTATTCTTGCAAACAACATATAGTCCACCCTCGCTTTTCATCCAAGCTGATACTATCTACCTTGTAATTGGAGTACTTAATCCATTTGCATTTAATTATCATATGTACATTTAATTAATGTTATTTGAATCTATCTTAGTGTTGACTCCATTTGTTACATTTGCTTTTTGTTTCTCTCTTAATGTTTTTCTGCCTTTTGATTACATGAAATAATTTTTGGTAGTCTCATCTGTCTTTTCTGTCGACTTATTTATGCCTCTTAGTGCTTATTTTAGATATTATGATATATATCTTTAACTTATGGAAATCTGTCTTCAAAGTATATTCTTTACTTCATGAAGCATTTATGAACCTTATCACAGTATACTTCCAATCACCGCCCTGCCCCCCTTTCTGTGAATGTGATATGTTTTGCTTCTACATATGATATAAACTTCTCATTGCAATTTTTAAATTTTAAACTCTCAGTAACCTTTTAAGTGTGTGTGTGTGCGCGCGCGCGTGTGTGTGTGGTTTTAATAGATATTTTATGTTTACTTGTTCTGGTGTTCTCCATTCCTTCTTACATAACTAGGTCTCTTTGGTATTATTTCCTTGCAGCCTAAACAGCTTTGCTGTGGAGAGGATTTAGATGGCATCTTAGGCTTCTATCATTATGTGTCTTATCTAGTGTCCAGCACAGGGCTGGGCATGAAGCCTAGGCTAAGGAATTTGGATTTTCTTATTGATGCTAATTCAGTCACTATATTCCGAGCATCTCCAGCATTATAGCATCAAGTGGGAATAACAGGGATGGGAGTTGGTCAGGGAGGCACAGAGGGGTGACATAGCAGACATAAATATAGGGACATTAGAAGAATATGACCTCTTCTTCAAAGAATGTATAATTTTATTGGGGAGATAAGATGCAAGGACATTGAAGAGACAATAGTACAGGTAATAGAGAAATCTGTACTAGAACAGAGAGCCAGAAGAAATAAAGGTTCTAGGCTGTGCTGAAGATAGTGGCTGATAAATGATTTTCTTATAAGACAAACCAAACCTGACGAGAATAATAGGAATGCTGAGCACAAACATGGGGGCGAGGTTGTTAAGAAAGAAAATCTAAAGCCTCCAAACCATTTACTACCAGGAAGACGGAATAGTTTGACCTATTAGGACTCCAGTCTCTCACTCTTTAAAGCAAAGAGGGTGTCAGATTAGCTGACCATCTGGGATATTTTGGTTGACACAGATCGCTTCTTGCCACGACTGATCTCTTCTTTTATCTGTCCCTCCTTGGTGCCCTCACATCTGCTAAGGTTGTTCAGAGGACACCAGATAATCTTGGAGGGAAAGGAGGAACATAAGATGTATTTTGGTCACTTGCAAATGAGAAAACAGGCAGACAATGAAACCC